GAGAAATCACTGATCTCCCCACCCCCAATGGGGATGGCCATGCTGCCATCCTTTCTCCATTCTCCTCCCAGGATCTTAGGCATGCACACACACATGCTCAGCATGAGTTTTAAGCCACTGGGTTTGGGATTCTAACCATGGTTGGCCATGTGGGAGTCCAGCTCTTTAACCATCATGCCACGTGCTGGCCCCAATCGTCCTGTTTCTTCACGAGCATCTTATGGGCTCAGTGCAGTGTTCATCCAAGGAAACTTTTGAAGTCATTTTTCTCCTTGGGAGTTCTGAATTCAAAATGAGTTGTCACAGGTGCCAACAAGGTCACCTGAGCTGGCAGGTACGAAGCCCTAGCTACTTGTGAATCTAAAACTACCTCCATGCCTGGGGCAGGACGAATCCGGTGGCATGTAGACTTGGTGGCAGTGTGGAAGAGGCAGGCCAGGAGAGGACTCGCTGGAGCATGAGGTGCTGGGCTGTGGGGCTGGGCAGCGGCATTCAGTCATCTGCTGCAGGCCTTGGAGGCCCTGGACCCCGTTGGGAAATGCACACACGGCGGCAGCCACGTCAGCGGGACCTGCGGCTTGGCAGTGCTTAGAGGTAGCAGGCAGGTTGCAAAGCTGACCTCTGCGCAGGCGCCCCGGGCCCCTGCTGTCCCTGAGGGGTGGCTGGCCCTGCGTGTGGCCCTTGGTGTGTGAACGAGGGCAGCGGGGCACTGTGTGAGGACCAGCGGAATGTGGGGCCAGGAGCCTCTGGTCCCGAGCTCTGAAGCCCCTGGGACCCTGCAAGGTGCGTGTGTAAATCCCTGCACACAGAGATGGCAGCAAGAATCAGGCGAGCTCGGCACACAGGAGCTTGTGGGTGACAAGTTTATTAGAAGGGCACTTACAGGAGGGAGCAGGAGAGGACACGGGTCTTTAACAACAAGGGCACATGCTGAAACAGTGCCCTGCTTTCAAAGTACAAAAGTTAGAAAAAAATCTAAAACACTATAAATACATACATGCTTTTTACAAAGATATTAAAAGGTCCAGCTGGCTGAACAGTGAAGGTAATCAACACCCTCCACGCCTGCTCCCCACCCCGCACACCGAGCACGAGTCCAGGACAGCCACGTCGCAGCAGCAGCAGTGGTGGTGAGTGGAGGCCGCCCGGGGAAAGGTGGCTCCATCTCTGTAACGTTCCCCCACCGAAGAGGCCTCGGTTCAGAGGACCCCTGGGGCAGGAACCCGAGGGAAGGGCTGCAGTTTGACTCAGAGCTGCCCGTCTATAAACACGGCCACTCGTCCAGCCTGGTTGGATGCTTCTGGTCAGGCAGAAGAGCCACGGCACCCTCTCCCAGCACTCAGAACTGGCTGTGCCGCAGCTTTCCACCCACTGTCCTCGGGAGGACAGCCCTTGCCAGCTTTCTTAAGAAAATTAAATAGTTATCTGTCTGAATGGTTTTAAGAAATTTTTACATAAATATAAAAACACCAGGATGCTAGAGTATGCATTACTTCTGCAAAAAGAAAAAAAAGAAAATCATTTACAGAGTCGCTGAGAATTTCCGATCCAGTTTACATGAGAGGTGAGCTTTTGTGTGATCGCTGTGTTTCTGACGAGCTGCCTGGGCGTCAGGTCGTTGCCGCTCACTGACACCTCCTACCAGGGATGCCTCCCCTGCCTTTTAGAGCCACACCCTCTCGTGTACTTTCCTGCTCTCCCACCTGCTTGAAAGGTGGCTGACGCTCCTTAACAAGGTGACAGGCATTGTGATGACTTATTTGAAGAGGTCCTGCAAGGGAGTACTCATACCCCACGAAGAAAAGTGGTGTCACCTGGCCTCACAATGGGAGCGTGTATACATTTTGGAAAAACTCCCAGCTCCGGCCCCTCAAGTGACACAGTAAGAGGGTGCAGAGCAAAGCGCGGCCTGTCCCACTGCGTGGTGGACAGTCCCACAGCAGCTGCAGATGGCTCTCCCTGTCCCTCCTTTTGAGGAGTGAAGAGCATGGTGTAAGGTGAGTTCTGACCCTGTGGAGACGGCCGTGGAGCCTCAGAAATGCCAGCCGGGGGCTCACCATGAGACCAGATCCTTACCTTCTCTCCAGACTGCCAGCGCGTGCCTGCCGTGGCCAGAGGACAGAAGGCATGCCTCCTTGTTCAGGTTTGAGTCAAAGCATTTAGCCTAGAATACACCTGGGCTCTAGGAAGGCACGGGAGAGGGGGCAATCCAGAACACGCTAAGTACATGCGTGCTACAGCTCCTTTTAATACATTAATGATGATTTAAAAAATAATCACGGTCAATAAAAATACAACACAAGGACAATGGAGAAGCCTGCCAGCAGCCTTGGCCTCGTGGGCTCTTCCTAAGGTGAGTCCAAGTCCCTGCTCCCGACTCCAGGCCTGTCCCGGTCAGCCCTGTGCATCCTGGCAGGACGGTGGCCAGCTGAGGAATGTTCCAGCGCAGCCTGTGACCAGTGGCTGGGGCGGCCACCTGCGCGTGCTCTAGAAGGACCTACGTTGCTAAAGACGGTTGCGAGGAAGGGGGTAGAGGAGGGGATGGGGAGTAACAACAGGCCCCTTGAGTGCTGACGACAAGGACCTGCGTCCTTGCACTAGCTACGTGGGTCAGTGTCACCGGCAGCAAGGCGAAGCCGTCACGGCTGGGAGCCTGGGCAGGGATGGGAGGAGTAGGCCTGGAGACCCCCCTTACAACTGCTGCCCAACAGCCACTGGCATGCACTCAACGCTCAGGTTTCTCCTCGCCTCTTTTTACTATCCTTTACACAAGCCTTTGAGTGCATAAATGCCATTCATCCGACCAGATTTTAACACTAAGAAAGCTAGCTCTGTGACGTCAGGACACTAATAGCCACGTGCCCAAGCTCCTGCGCAGCTCCGTAATGGGAGTGGGCGCTGTCTCCTGCCCTCCCAGTGTGACCACGCCTATCGTAAGTGATGCCAGAGGTGGGCCTGTCTATTTCACGCGTCCTCCTGTCAAGAAAAAGGCCAAGAGAGCAGCCCCTGGGCCAGCACAAACTCATGCCTCTTAGAAGCCGCCTTCGGGCTGAGCATTGAGGGTCTGAGGACACCATCCAAACACAGCCAAACGTGCCCGCCGCGCTGCCAGGGTGGGGCCGGACCTGCAGCTACTCCCGAGTCCCCGTGCGCCGCAGGAAGCCAATGGGATGGTGGAGCGGGTGGAGAACACAGGCCCCCAGAGACCGCTGCCCACGTGGCTTTTAGGAGATGGGCCATTTTGCTCCTGCAACCAAAATGGAGTATCACACCTAGGGCTCAGGGCTGCTGGGAGCGTCAGCACACAGGAGGGCCGGGGCTTCCAGGGCTTGTGAGAAGCAGCCCAGATCATCACTCGCCAGGTTCCAACGAGGCCCACGCTGTGTGGCGCTCAGAAGAGTGAGGGTTTCGCATGTCCGGGTTCCCCGTCAACGCCCTCCCCACCACGAGAACTCACAAGCCCGGCAAGGTGCCCCCTCCCTCTTTCCTGTGTCCTCAGGAGGCTTGGGCGGCAGCTCTTTCCTGGGAGACTCGAGGCTGGAGCTGCGGAGGTACAAGGTCCTGCGGGTGAGGCCCCAGGAAGCCCCCCGACATCAGACAGCATTAGAGATTTCATCACATTGGAGGTTCACAACCTGCCCAAAGTAGACGCTGCTCTTCACCTGGAGTAAGACAGGACTTCCATAGGAAACCCCTTTATTCTTCCTGGTATAAATCCATGCCAAAATGTGGGCCAAGTCATTTCATATAAAAGCAGCAGCGAAGAATGAAGTACCCATCGTAGGTGGCGAATCTGCTGTATGCTGCAAAGGCCAGGAAAAGGAGGGCTCTTTTTTTCTTTTTTTCCAGTTGAAATAATTTATAGTAGCTTCTCTTCTAATTGCCATGGGGGCAGTCTTTATTACACAGTCTCAGTGCCATAGTCGTCACTGAGGGTCCTCTACCAGGAGCCGGATAATCTCATACCCCAGGGGGAAGATGACAGACCTCTGCAACAAGCCTGCAATTTTCAAAGGTGTAAAAACATTTTAATAGCCCTTTTCATTTGCCTGTGTTGGCCTGAGATTTCTCCCTTCTGGTGGATTTACTTCTGTCCGTTCCAAAAGGATAGGCAGGTGGTGTCTCCTCAAGGAAACCTGAAGACGTTTCACCGTGCCCGAGAGAAGGGAGAGGAGTCGCTGCTGGGTTCCATTCCGGTTTCCCAGCCAACGTGCCGACCCAGGATTTAAAAATAGAAAACAAACATTTAGAAGCTCACACGACAGAGCTGATTCCACCTTTGTGATTCTGACCACGTGAACCAGTACGGCCGTGTGCATCAGTGTGGCGTGAGCGGAGGTGTGCTCAGGGCGGTGCCCTTACCCAGCACCCCCAGGCTGACTGCCGCATGCTTCCTGGGAACACATCCGGTGTCCGATCTCCGTGAGATTAACGCGATAGTAGGAACTACACACGGCATACGTGTGCACCTCCACAGGTCCTTCCACCCTTCCAAAGTGAGAAAGGACGAATGCGGAGCGTCTTTCAAGGGGAGGTGGGCTCCCTCCAATGTGTCCCGCTGTCCGTGCAGGGTCTACACACACGCGCTCAGGCCCGTCAGTGTGCTCCGCGGTGGGAGGAGATGGAGGCGCCCTGTCCACCCCGAGTCCATCCGGCTCACCAGGGGCAGTCTGCCAGAGTGGTGGTGCCGGCTGGGAATGGTCCATCCAAGAGGCGCTTGTCACATGCCCAGGGAGCTGAGCGCATGGCCTCTCGTGGTCCTGCAGGCTTGTCCCTCCCTGCAACACCCTCCACGGTGAATGCCACCCCCGGTCCTGGATGGAGGGGCATTTATGGGACTGTGGACATCCCAGATGGCTGTCATTAAAAAAAAAAAAAAAAAGACACAG